CGCGGAGTGAGGGTTCTCCACCCCGCACAACATGATCTACTCGACCACCATTATGGTTACCGCCAAGAAAAAAACCGAAGGTAAAAAAAAAAAACGGTAACCTGGTTGCCGAGTTCACGAGGTGAATTGGCTTGTTTTACAACGTCATTGCCAAGCGACGAAAACCCAACCCCGATGGCAAACACCGGGGGGGGCGGCTTGTTTTACAACGTCGTTGCCAGGCGACGAAAACCCAACCCCGATGGGGCGGGGTAGGGGGGCGGGAAAAGCGTGGCTTGCGCTGAACAGATCTGGAGTTTCTACTCGCGAATGGTCTCGAAGCGGCTCCGAAACTGGCAGACAGGGCTACATGGCAAACCGAGTTGAGGAGAGTTCAAGAGGATTTTGATGTCATTGTGTTGATTATAGAAAGAGAATCAGGAAAGGTAGTTCGTGCTGGGCACATGATCAGGGACGCAGCGCAGACCTATAGAAACAGTAAATGGGTCGTTCGAGTTGTACGTTCGATGCAACAGGTTTGGTTTTGGCCGCGTGGTAAATAATAGGACACTCACTGTACTTATTGCGGGAGGGAGAATTACACGTCCTGACAAGGGAGAATCACACGTCGATGGGTCGTGTGACAAGGACTTTGTTCATTCCGGACAAGCTCTTACACATCTATTTGTCGGCTGTGTAGCGTTACGTTTGGTTCCGTTTCATCCCCGCGATTACACGGAACACCTGCGGCGCATCAATCATATGCCTCTATACACATTCACTCTCGGCGTGTAGATTCAATCGGCCGTGGAGGTGCTAACAACTTCGCCTCCTCGTTCTCTTCGTTCCTCTCGCGTCCAAAAAGCCCTTGCTTAATAACGAATAAATGGTTTGAGCAGCGGTCTTCGTTTGCAATAGTACATTTATATTCAATCCGCCGAAACCTCGTGTCGTTGGCATACGTCGTTTGGCGGAAGGCAGCGGCTGGTGAAAACATCGCGCCGAACATTCGTTTAGCATGATCGAAAACGTTCAACTCCCCGCCACCCTCCAAACACGGCGGCAGCAATTCTCAAGCCAAGTTGAGCTGCAAGGGGCCAAGCGCGTGGCGTCAGTGGACCAAGGCCTCATTGCGTTTGTGTTTCTCACTTTTGTTGCCCATTGTTCGCTTTTGATTGCAAGTATCGCCGTTGTTTTTCCTCGTTCTTGGTGTTCATTTTCTTCGGCCCATGCGTTTCCTGGGTTCGACAACCACGCGACTAGGAATCGTGCGGCGCCTGAACGAGAGAGTCGTCTCGGTTCATGCCTTTCCTTTCTCACATACAGTAAGTTGCAAATGGAAAGAAATCAGTCTCTTTCATGGTGGGAGGTCCAGCCCGTGGTCACATCATCACACAGAAGGGTTTCCCCCCCTTAGTTCCCCCACACACTGCCCATTCCCACTACCCTCCTGCGGTGCGTGCCTTCGACGATTATCGCGAGAAGAACCTGGAACAGCGAAAACAACGTTGCTTTGAAGACAACATCACGTCGGTGTTCTGGCTCCGTCCAAGCCTTCCTTGCCATTTCTCGGTCACACCCACGTGTGTATATCACCTCCTGTATGAATCCTGATAGCGATAAGCAAAAGGCTGTCCTCGCGCGCCGAAGGATATTGCCGCGAAAGAGACTAGGGCTTGGCGGACATTCGCTGAGATGGTCTGTTTTCATAGCTCACAATATTGAGAACAATAGCTAGGTGGATGGTTCCTAGGCCATATTGAATGTTTCTACCTTCAACCACTTCTACTAGGTAAATCAATGCCTGAAGGATATCACCAGGTTATTTGACACGTCCTCAGGTGTGGTACGCCCGCGATATGGCCTAATATGAGCCAACTGTGTCTTTTCTGGGACTACATTTGCAAGGATATTTGTATTGACCCATGGAATAGAGAGGGGTGGTTCGTATCCCTGTGCCCAACCCTGACCCTAGCCCCCAACCCCCAACCCCCAACCCCGCCCCGTACCCCCTGCAAAAACCAAGCTCATATCCTCGCGGACTGCTGCTTGTCTGATGCAGGCATCGTGCAAGACACGTGAGATTACCGCAACAAGCCGAAGAGTGGTTGTTGGCTGAGATTACCTTATGCGCAGGAGCGACACTATTGACATCGTATTGTTCAGATACTACGGTTCATGCCCAGTTTTGTTGACATCCCAGCTTTCAGAAAGTGCACAAATATGTCTTATGTATGTCGTACACTCTGAACTCTTCGAAGTAGTTATTCTTGTTACTCGTTGTCGGCCGAACGTTTCGCGCATGCCTCAGACCACTCTGCACTGCAGATGCCACGGTCAAGCACATCCCCTACTACGTGGGCTCTACGCTCCAGACGGCATGAGCGATAGGATTGATGCTCGGTCGCGTCTGGCTGACAGCATCAGATGAAGTACCGATGTACGAACGGGAAAGTCACAGACTTTCCTCCGATGTCGAGTGCGGCTCTCTACTTGTACGAACGCTCGCCCGAGTGACGCCGGTCATCTTCCGAATATTTCCCCTCCCCCGTGGAAGGGACGCCACCTCGTGGCACCGAGTCCGGCTCCTTGCCCTCGCTTCCAGCGGTTAGCTTGCCCTCCTGACCAAGATGGCGCTTCTTCCTCAGAGACTTCTCAGCCTCCTTTTTCATGACGTTGAAAAAGCTGTCGTAGTCGGCGGAGGCCAACAAGCAGTTTATGAACAGCTGTACCTGATTGGTTTCAAGCACGTCGATCGCGGTACCCAGGCACAGTGTCAGTAAGGGACTCCGTGCATCAAGTACAGGAGTACGTGGTTGTGGTTGCAGTGAAATTAAGTACACCCACTTCGATCAAACAGTAATATCTCCATGTACGTGCAGGCGGATGCTTATTGAGCGGCAGATTACTTTTATGGGACGTTCTATCACCAAAAACAACTGGCGAAGCATGCATTGACAGAGTTGTTCAATCAAGCCCCCGCGTTCGTGATGCAACAGGCAAGCGCCGGTGGAAGGCGTAGGCCACGGATTTCGGGAAGGTATGCAAGTATGTCGTTGGTGGATTCCCATAATCTAGCACCTGGGAAAAATTCGCAACAATGACCGCCGTCACTCATGACACACAATGGAGGGCAAGTCGTGTAGAGTCGCGACATCTAACCACAGGGGGTATGGAAGTTTCGGCGGGTGTAGAACCCTGGTGTTCAAGCTCAGAGCCCAGTTGACGGTAAGCCACACACATTGCAAAACGACTTTTTCGAATGTTCCACACCGGCCATCCTACGCAATTGGGGTGTATCAAACGCGAGTTTATGCCACTGAGAAGATCCCCGTGTGCTTGAGGGTACCTGCGGGTCTGGGTTGGTCTGGTGGTCTCTGATGACAGTGTAGAACTCGTTGATTGTGCTCCCTTCCCTCTCTGCCTCGGCACAACAAGATAATGGGTGTTAGAGCTGGGAACCAGCCGGAGCCAGGAGAGCCCTTGTACCCACCGGAAACACAGCAGTTAAGGGGTACAGACATCTAGAACGAGTTTTTTTGCCGTTGGCTCCTTCTGATTGACCATATTGCTCTCCTTCTATACGTGATCGTGGCTCCTGTCAGAAGGGACGCGTCAGTTTGGCGGACGCCTCGTCTGGGGTGAAGCTCTGCATGTTTGAAGCCCTCTTGGAGACTGGAAACACGAAGGATCTTCCTCGTCAAGAACTGAACACGTGACATATCTTTCGGAGGACGATCCCTTGCTCTCAACGTTTTTCTACGAAACAACTGGATACGGACAGCATTGAAAACGTGATTTTGACTGACTTTGCTCGCAGCTCAGCGCATGTCACGCATATTTAGACCCTGGGCGAGGGCCACACCGAAACAGCTATTGACATTCACCCCACCATTATGCCAAAACCGACTTCCTATTTCTAGGCTTGTCTGCATTCTTCTTATATTTACTGTACACCGCTTGCCACGACTAATCTTTGCTGTCGGGCAAAAGACTGATATGTACACACTTTACGACTTACCTATGAAGCCCTCCAGCTTCCCCTCAAAGATCAACAAGTACTCATTGAACAACTCTTGGTACTCAAGGGCGTGCTCTTCGGACTTCCCATCCGCCATCACCTGCGGAATATTTGCGGTGGATACATTGGCAGACACCACCAGGAGTTACCGTCTTCGTACAGATATAACTTGTGTTTGGACCACTGGGTTGTACAGCAAGCTGGATGATGATGTAGGACGGTTTCCACGATGCTTGGGCTACACGGTATACGTTTTGCAGGCGCTCAGACCGTGTTGTGCGCATGTGTTCATTGGGATGGGAAGTAGTTACGTCGCTTCGCCCCCAATGACTCTTGTATATTCCGGAACAAACCCTGCAACTTCCGAACCTCGAATACTTCCGCATGCTTGCGGAAGTAAGCTCGAAAGACATCGAGGAAATCATCACTCCAGCAATGCTTGATCGCCTTTGCCAGGAGGTCATGTTCCCCTCCGCCCTGCCCCTTGCATTCGCCTTGGTCTCCGTGCGAGTCCCTCTTTGGCATCGCAAGGCCGACCGCACAATGAACACCCTCGGCAGCGGTCCAGCAGTGAGTGTTTTGGAATCTTGGGCGACTTCGACAGCTCGATTTGAACCTATTTGGGTCGAGTCACCGCATCGGAAAATTGCCGTCGTTGTCTCCACTAGGGTGTGCTCCGCGAATCGAGAACGCAGCAGTGAAAGGTGTGAGAGGTTCCTGTGCCTCTGGACTCTGGAGATCGATCGCACGACGTGCGGTGGGTCCGTGGCCGAAACGTCAGCAGATACCCCGCACATGTTGTGTTTTTTTTCTTCTTAATATCACACAACAAATCCATCTCCATCTATAGAAATAAGTCTAAGATAGATTAGCAGTGAATCCATAGCGTGAGCGAAAGGCTACCTGTCTGTATGTCTACGGTTTCCCAGACAGCATACAACGATAACTCCCCTGTGGGTAACAGGCTCAATATGGCAGTTTCGTAGCCATCTTGTGTATCTATCTGTATGTTATTGGGAAGTTGGAGACGGAAGATTTAGGGGAACTTCGTTTGTTTCTCCCATCATTGGACTCTGTCGTCTGCCCCTCTGGCCCCTATCCTCCACTTCTACTAGCTAGACGACCCAACCGGGGTCACATAGGAGGGGGCGGGCGGACCTCCTCCTGCGGTTCCTGCCTGAGGTATTTTTATCGCGAGAAGGGTACAGCAATCCCTTCCCTCGCGACTTACGAAGTCGATTATGGGGCACGATTTCTGATTATACACAACCATCTCCATCTAGTCTATGGAAATAGGTCTAAAAGATAGATTAGCAATAATTCCATAGCGTGAGCGAAAAGCTACCTGTATGTCTACGGTTTCCCAGACAGCATACAACGACATCTCCCCTGTGGGTAACAGACTCAACAAGGCAGTTTGGTAGCCATCTTGTGTATCTATCTTTGATCTTATATAGTCATACCCCATAGTTCGTTTCATCTCATCTACGAATCCATGAATCCCTCATAAACCAGGTGGAACTCCCCTTCAGAGGTTGCCCCGCACTCATTGCCCTTCACGAGTGTTTCCAAGACCGCGTGTATAGTGTATACAACGCTGGTCTAGCCGAGATGGCCAGGAAGGCACCAGCCAACGATTGCGAGATTGGTGGATCAAGCATGAGCCGCAGAGCCAAGAACCCCGGCATCCAAACCATTAGCCCCAAAGAGCCAAACAGCCGAGACAAGACAGGATACAAAATCGAAGCTCGCGCTGCTGCGGATGCCTTGGGCGACATGCAGGCGGCTTCGCAGCAGGAGCTACAGGACATCCAAGATGTAAGTTTAGGGTGATCTCCCCTCTCTTTGTAATGTGGTGTCTCCTCCAGCGTCGATGTTCTCTGCGATACCGGCACACCACGCCAAGATCCACCCTGCTGCATTGATCCATTTGAATCTGGTCGATACAGGATGCTACTGTACTGCTGTACTCGGCACTTTATCTTCCCGCCGGCCGAATACATTTAATGGGAGCAGATGTACTTCAGGAAGGAGGAGAATGCGAAGGAGGAGCTACGCATGCACACGTGATGCGGCGTGATGTATGGCAAAGAGGGACGTAAATAACTGCTCCTCCCAAGGCCCGCTGTCCCGTAGCAATGCTGTAGCTGACTGACACCAAACATCCATGACACTCGACACGCCTTGGGCTTCCAAGCACAAAGTAACTCCTCGGGATGGCACGTGCGTCCTCTTTCGATGTGTCGCCGCCCCTTTTTGCGATCAAACGGTAGCTGATGAGGCTGAAGGACACGGACCCAGACCAGTTCGCGGAGTACGTGCAAATGGCCGCGGATGCTGCCAAGCTAGCCGAAGAGCGACCAGACGTCTTCGACCAGCTCATGCGAGGCGACGGAGCAACAGGTGCAACTGACGAGTACCCACCCCGTGGCAATCATGCAACTGCGTTTTATTTGTGAACTCTTTGTCCGATGCCATGCACGCAAGTGGTACCCCCCCCCCCCCCCCCCC